GGTCTGATGAATTATACGTGATTACGATTCCAATGTGATAAATTATAACCATGGAATATTAGTGTTTGTTTTTATATTATATTCTTGCTCTGTCCTTGACATAGAGCTGTACCTGAATTATATACTCTTGGAAATTTTATATATATATATATATATATATATATATATATATATATATATTTTAAGTAAATATATATATGTGTATATTTGTGTCTGTGCTAGTTATATATATATATATATATATATATATATATATATATATATATATATTGACCAATAATATTATCAATATAAATATATATATAGTCACAAACTCACATCAATACAACTAAGTGTGTTTGCTCTGTCACTGATAGTGAGCGCTTTCCAATAAGAACCGCGCATATAAATAATATATATAAAAATTACATATATAAAAATTACACACACACACACACACATATATATATATAATAAAAAGGGTTAAACACTAATATTCCATGGTCATAATTTATGTGTATATTTACCACTAATATTATCAATATATATATATATATATATATATATATATATATATATATATATATATCTTGTTGGTTACAAATATATTTAGTTGAAGCCATATAACTCAAAATGTTCAAAAGATTTAGATTCCGGCATTAAATAACCCTGAGAGAGAGAGAGAGAGAGAGAGAGAGAGAGAGAGAGAGAGAGAGAGAGAGAGAGAGAGAGAAAGAGAGAGACCGAAAGGGTCAGCATTCTTTCTCTCTCCCTCTCCCTTTTTATATATATATATATATATATATATATATATATATATATATATATAGAGAGAGAGAGAGAGAGAGAGAGAGAGAGAGAGATTGTCCGCAGAGGTCAGCACTTCATGGAGACTCTCAGTTGAATCCGATGTTTATACTGTCTTAACTTTAAAAACACATATCTCCGATAATAAGTACTTTTCTCTTCTCAATATGGCAACTTTATATATATATATATATATCTAAAACGAAGTTAAACTAATCGCCAGTATTTTAACATCACACGAGGAGACACATTTGCAGTGTCGACACATAATCGTAATTGTGTAGCGATTTTTAACATATTTTGTTTTAATATCTTAAAATAAATAATATTTAGCACTACTTTGTATTGAGCCCTCTTTTAAATCAAATGTTATGTATGGAGGAATTATACTCCATTCTTTCTCATTTTACCTGGATATATATATATATATATATATATATATATATATATATATATATATATATATAGCCAAGTATAGGATTGCTGTAGACAGGTCTTTATTATAGATTCAACACTATCACTATCACTTGAGAAGACACCAGAAGTGTTGAAACAAAATCGGTATTTTTGTAATGAATTTATAACATGTTTATGTTATTTTTTTTTTCGAATATATATATATATATATATATATATATATATATATATATATATATATATATGTACGGATATTTCGGTAGCATATTTTCCTTCAGACATATTTCGTTGTCTGCTTATTTTCGATAAGATCCATTCATACTCGCGGATAAGAGTTTAGATGTCATAATGACAACATATATATATATATATATATATATATATATATATATATATATATATATATATATATAATATTAGTGGTAAATATGCATACATATGCAAAATATATAAATACCCATACATGTATATTTTTTGAATAAAAATTCAAGAGGATAGAATCCAGGTTGAACTCAATGTCCAGGACAGAGTAAGGATATAATAAAAAGGCTTAAACACTAATATTCCATGGTCATAATTTATTCCATTGGAATCGTAAATACGATCCAATTCATCAGACCTACAAATTCAAAAAGAAAACAGAAAAACCAACTCCGGAAATAAAAAATAGAATTTAGAGAGAGTGTAAGTATGAGAGTGTGGGACGAATGTTAGAGCTAAAGAGAGTGTTAACAGACGAGAGAAGGTGGGACATTAAAACTTAACAGAGAGAAGTTTTAGATAGGTATATATATATATATATATATATATATATATATATATATATATATATATATATATATATATCGATGATACGTATCTATACGATATATAGAATTTTCAAATCTTTTCGGGATACTGCAGATTTTACATGGATGCAATTAGTTTAACTCTTGCTGGAGAGAAAAAGTGAGCTGTTTCAGTCACCCAGGCAAAGACGTTTTTTTAACTATATATTTTAGCCTTTATTTTGGTTCGAATCTCGCATCAACTATTGGCGTACACGTCGCCATCTTGATGGAAAGAAATCTTAGTATGGAGTAGCATGAGTCGAATTTGAAACTGCTTCCAAATATTTACATATTTTGATTTCCGTGTGTATTTAGAAATTGTGGCTTTCACATTTCTTCCTTATTTAAACTTCTTTTACATGGAAACGGAAGAAGAAACGTAAATTCTATTGACATTTACTTGGTTTCAGCCAGCATATCTAATAAGTTGTATATTTATCCGCCATCTTAGCCATCCAGGAATTTTTGGATTGTTTCAAACGACATGCACTCTTTAGAGAGAAACAATTGTAACAAATATGAGACGAAGCCAGGCCCATTTATCGTATAGGGATTTGCTTGATTGACAGTTTGATTTTGGCAGAAGGAAATTCATACCGTTCTAAATATTTTCCAGTCAGATAAAGAAAACGTGAAACGATAGAAAGCAAACGAATTAGTCTCGTGTGAAAAAATTCCAGTAAAGATCGGTTTTTACTTAAAATCTAAAAATTGAATTCGCAGTTTTTTTTAAGATTAAAAAAATGCATTATTTTTCATTCAAAGACACAAATAAAAATTATTAACATATTTTCAAGGTCAGTCATTTTTCGTATATATACGGCATTATTGAAATCTCAATTTATTTATTTTTAATAATTTCAACCCTAGCAAGGTGGGAATGCCACTAGTACACAGGGGATTACAGGGTGTGAAAGCGAGAGAAAAGACTGAGAAGAGGGAGGATTGAGGAAAGGACAATAGATGAACGGGATTCAAGAAGACAGCATTTGATAGATAGATAGATAGATAGATAGATAGATAGATAGTAGGAGACTGAGATAGATAGATAGATAGATAGGATAGATAGATAGATAGATAGATAGTAGGAGACTGAGATAGATAGATAGGATGATATATATATATATATATATATATATATATATATATATATATATATAGATAGATAGATAGATAGTAGGAGACTGAGATAGATAGATAGTAGGTGACTGAGATAGATAGATAGATAGATAGATAGATAGATAGATAGATAGTAGGAGACTGAGATAGATAGATAGATAGATAGATAGATAGATAGATAGATAGATAGATAGTAGGAGACTGAGATAGATAGATAGATACATACATACATACTAGGAGACTGAGATAGGGATAGATAGATAGATAGATAGATAGATAGATAGATAGATAGATAGATAGATTTCCCATGAACAGTACGCATGCAAATAAAAACGGAGATATTTTTATCCCAAGAAAGGCGGGAATGCCACTAGTGCGCAGGGGTTTACAGGGAGTGAAAGTGAAAGAAATGAGTGGGTGTAGGGGGATTGAAATAAGGATAAAAGATGAACGGACTAAAAATATAGAAAATGGCGATTGACGTTGCATTTAAATTTTTGAAGATTGTAGATATCAGGGAAACAATTAAACGGAAGGGAGTTCCACAGGCGGGAAGTGCGAGAAAAGAAACTGTTGGAGTAGAAGTGGTTGTTACATTGAACTGTTTCAACAATAAAAGAGTGGGACCTAAATGCCAATCTAGTAGCACGCTTAAATTCATGTCGTCGGATCAGCCGGGAAAAAATCTCGTCAGAGCAGTTGCCATGAAAATATTTGTAGAAAAGTTAGAGAGAAGCCATACCACGTCGGTGAGAAAGTGACTGAAGTCGAGATGCCAGGTCAGGACCGATTACATTGCAGATCCTTCTTTGTATTTTGTCAAGAACTTCGAGATGAATAGCAGGAGCACAAGACCAGATATGGCAGCAGTATTCAATGAACAGACGAATGGTAGATTTGTAAATATGCAAGAGTGACACTGACGAGAAAAATTTACTGGCATCAAACAATGACCCAAATTTCCTTGCATTCGATATGGCTATTTAACCGCTTGTAAAAAAAATATAAGGAAAGTTTTCCTTGGAATAATTTTTGCAGATTACCGTTAATAAAACCCTGCCCTGGGTATGACGATAAACTACATCTGCGTCCTGGGTATGACGATAAACCACGTCCAACAGCAAGGCCTCTGATAAGGCGTTTTTGAAAAAATAATATTACGAGCTATACGTGTTTGAAAAAATAATATTACCAGCTATACATATTTGAGAAAAAAATATGAACAGAAGTACATTTTTGACAAAACAAAAACATTACCAGGAAAAAAATGTTGTCGGCATTAAATGACCCACTGAGGTTGATATGCCGTAAAACAAAACAAAACAAACCTTTAATAAAACCTCCTCAAATTTAAAAATATATATTATAACGATTTAGAAGCGGTATGTTTATAATGTATCAAATAGATCTCTGACATCTTACAGAGTTATTTGCCCTTTATTTTCATTTACAAAATAGTACGGTAATGCATTGTTGTTTCAAACTTGACATTTATAAATAAAATAAAGTACAGATAACTCTGTTTTATTTATGAATGCCAAATTTGAAACTGTGTCTACGTCATGGATACCTGTGTCATTGATAAGAATTGGCTAAAAGGACAACACATTATTGTATTATTTTGTAAATAAAAATAAAGTACAGATAACACTTTAAGAAATGAGGGACCGATTTAATACTTTATTTTTTTATGAACGATTTGTATGAACGATTCTGTAATGATAAAAAAAATTAATATTTTCTGATTCTGACAAATGTGGGCAGAGGAAAGTCAAAGGTATGCTAATCTACAAAAACTGTTTCAATTTTTTTCTCTATTTTTCATAAGCGGACCAGTTAACTTCTGTAATGCCGGCAGTACGAAAATACATACAGTACAATCAGATCATAAAACCCTGTTGTTGCAGGTCAGATTGGGACCGTATTACAAAGACTTTTCTTCTTTCTTCCTTTCTTTCTTTCTTCCTTCCTTCCTTCCTTCCTTTCTTCCTTCCTTTCTTTCTTTCTATAAGTTTACGACCATTTGCAAAGACATTCTTTCTTTCTTTCTTTCAGTTTACGACTATTTACAAGGACTTTTTTCTTTTATCATTCTTTCTTTCTTCATTATTTCTTTCGTTCATTTTCATTCTTTCTTTCATTCAGTCATTCATTCATTCTTTCTTTCTTTTTTCTTTCTGTCTTTCTTTCCTTCCTATCCGTTTACGACCACTTACAAAAAATTCCTTCCTTCCTTTCTTTCAGCTTACGACCATTCTTTTCTTTCTTTCTTTCTTTCTTTCTTTCTTTCTTTCTTTCTTTCTTTCTTTCTTTCTTTCTTTCTTTCAGCTTACGACCATTTACAAAGACCTCCTTTCTTTCTTCATTATTTCTTTCGTTCTTTTTCATTCATTCTTTCTCTTTCATTCATTCATTCATTCATTCATTCTTTCTTTCTTTCTTTCTTTCTTTCTTTCCTTCTTTCTTTCTTTCCTTCCTATCAGTTTACGACCATTTACAAAATCTTCCTTCCTTCCTTTCAGCTTTCGACCATTTACAAAGACCTTCTTTCTTTCTTTCTTTCTTTCTTTCTTTCTTTCTTTCTTTCTTTCTTTCTTTCTTTCTTACACTCCGACGTATTTTTAGATTCTTAGTCTTATACAGTTCTCCCAAAGACGTGGTGGTTATAATTTAATATAATGTGTACAGTCGTTGGGGACAGGGGTGTATGTCTCTCCAGGCAATACCTCTCCCACAGGAACCTGAGCAAGGGTTATTATCTGGTGTTTGAGGCGTCCTCAAAAGGGTAGTGTTTAGTGAGTTGGTTCAGTTTTTTTGTCATTAGTCTAGATACTCGTCGGCTCCAAATTTAAACTCCGCCTCATGTCATATTAACTGAGTGGGCACGTGGTAAAAGCCTCATTGTTACACAAGAACACAGGCAAAAAACCACACGCTTATCATGTGCAATAAAAAAATAACAGTGAAAAAAGGACATGCCATATTTAAAATTAGTCATTTCGATAACTCGTATCTACACTATTTACATTATTCGGACTATTGTCCTCATCTTCGTCGCCATATTTATTACAGCGTTTCGGCCGTTGTACGTTCCCGCTTTCTTCTTCAGGTGGGTGGAATGTCGAATTGGACCCTTTATTTCACTCACTGGAAAGAGTGTGCGTTCAATACCCGGTTAAGGCGGCGGAGAACTTGGAAAGGGGAATTAACAGGAGATAACTGATAACTGACATCCATTAAACATGAATTATTCATACAAAAAACAAATGCAAAGGTTAATGATTCACAGTCTACCCCAGTGAGTGAAATAAAGGGTTAAGTTCGACATTCCACCCAGGTGGAGGTTACAATGGCCGAAACGTTGTAATAAATATGGCGACAAAGATGAGGCCAATAGTCCGAATAATGTAAATAGTGTACATAATACCTCATCTCAGAAATATAGACAGTTACTGAAGGATCGGATAAATATGGCGACAAAGATGAGGCCAATAGTCCGAATAATGTAAATAGTGTACATAATACCTCATCTCAGAAATATAGACAGATACTGAAGGATCGGATAAATATGGCGACAAAGATGAGGCCAATAGTCCGAATAATGTAAATAGTGTACATAATACCTCATCTCAGAAATATAGACAGATACTGAAGGATCGGATAAATATGGCGACAAAGATGAGGCCAATAGTCCGAATAATGTAAATAGTGTACATAATACCTCATCTCAGAAATATAGACAGAAACTCGTATCTACTTGCATTATTTACATAAATGGAACTGTTATCCTCATCTTCATTGCCATATTCGTACACTCCGGCCTTCTTCAGGTGACTGGAATTTCGAACCGAACCCTTTATTTCATCCACCGGGGGTTGATTGTTCTAGTTCCGCGTGCCATGCCTCTTTCGAGTGTCTCAGTTAATTGCTTTTAACTCAACTCTCCAAGTTTTTTTTTGTTCAATACTACTGTAGCCTGTAGTATTGAAATCACAAATATTTGGGTCAAGTCACTGGATCTAATCAACGTCTTTATCCAATGGGCCATGTGTCCTTGAGGATGAAGCCCATAGATTAAATAATCCACGAAGAGGTTGATAAGCCGTAAAAAACAAAACAATAAATGAATCGATCGGTCAGATATCAAATACGAACTTAACTCAATTTTAGCCAACAATAAATTGATTGTTTAACAGTCATTTAACTTGATAATTGAATCCAACCATATAGTGAAAAACCGCGTAAATAGCGAAAAATGGCGATTTTTACTGGTGAATTCTTTTTTACTGGTAAATTTTCTGTAGGAACAGACGAAAGCTTGTAAAAATAATAAGAACTCATGCAACAGAAATTTATAGAAACAAGGATCTTTTCATTCATAAACAGGTTCGGGGTTTTGTATATTATTTGAATTGTTCGCGACGATGGATTTCTCACCAATTAAATCATTAACCTTTGTATTTGTTTTTTGTATGAATAATTCATGAATATATATATATATATATATATATATATATATATATATATATATATATATAACATAACACACACACACACACACACACATATATATATATTATTATATATATATATAGCATGATAATCTAACTGTCAGGGTTTCAATTCTCGGTAGTAGATGCACACTGCTGATGAGTTCCAAATATAGGACGAAACGACCTTCCAGTGCTTTCTGCATTCTGTTGAGGTTTCTTTCAGACTCGATGAATTACTTAATTTTATATTATATATAATTATTTATTATAAAATTATAACATTAATATGTTATAAAATCACTACAAAATAGTCATTTTGTTTCAACACTTCTGGTGTTTTATCAAGTGATGGTATTGAATGTAGAATATATATATATATATAAAATACACACACACACACACACACACACACACACACACACACATATATATATATATATATATATACTGTACAGTGCAAAAGTTTGCGGCCATACCTGAAATCATTTTTTTTTTTAAATTAGCTTTCAAAATATTTGTTTTGTGATTTAAATTAAGAGAAAGTTATTATAGATGGTTAAAAGAAGTGAGACGTGATTTTTATTACAATTTTTCTGATGACAAAAAGAAAAAAAAAGCATTTTCTGATTAAATTTTGCTCTCGTCAGAATGTCCTCCTTTAGGTTTGATTAATGAACTACAACTTTTTTGCATTCGTTGCAAAAGTTTCATAAAGTATAAGTTTTGTAATTGATTCAATTCTTTTTTTTCGGTGACTCTGAGAGTACTTCCATCTTTGGGATGGTAATATTTCTCTCTTCTGTCAATTTTATTTCATGCTAATTCTGGAGGTGGCTTCAAACTTTTGAAGTGTAGTCTCTCTCTCTCTCTCTCTCTCTCTCTCTCTCTCTATATATATATATATATATATATATATATATATATATATATATATATATATATCATAAAGGGACAAAATATTAAATGGCAATGTTAATGTGATTGATGGTGAAATCAATTATTTTCATATATACTAGAAAATTGGGACCTGAAGATGACAATTTGTAAGTGTCGAAAGTATTTGGCATGTGTCTTCCATCGGACAACAACTCGAATATAAGGATTTTCTTATTCAAGGAATTGATAGTAAGTTAATGTCTCATTAAGTTCTGTTATCGAAGTGATTTCGCCATTAATCACATTAACATTGCTATTTAATTCTTTGTATAAATTGTTTCTTTATGATATGATATAAAATATAAGTAAAATATAAGCTGCTCTCTCTCTCTCTCTATATATATATATATATATATATATATATATATGTGTGTGTCTGTGTGTGTGTTTGTGTATGAAGGATGGGAGTGAGTAGAATGTCAGCGTTCCGACCATAAGTTCCAGGTTTGAGTATGATCATGATTGATTTGTCAATGACTTCTCAAAGAGGCATCTTCTATAATTACCTCACCTGTCCAGGTAAAAACAGCCTTTCATAGCGGCTAAATACGGTCAGATTGAATGTTCTAGCGATTTTGGTATGTATTGGTCAGCTTTAAAATATCAATGTGCTTCTATTGGTAGGGACAGCTAAGAGAAGAGCGACAGAAAAACGGGTAAACAGCGTCTTGGAAGGTGAGTTGGACGTTGTGCCGGGACGAAACACGTAATTGTTGGCGATGGAGGTGAATTCCGTCGCTTTGCCTACTACGGCCTAACAGAAGAGCGGCTAAAACAGGCGTGTGGAAAGAAGCCAATGAAAATGTTCTCGTATCGATTGGCCTTGTAAAGGTTCAATTTGTTCAGGCGTAGCTTGGGAGGCCAGTCTGCTTCGCTCATCCAAGTACAATGGCTGACAGCACGGCTGACATGTTGATGAGTTACTCACCATTTAACCAACCTCACTAAGTACAAAGATCTATCTATCTATCTATCTATCTATCTATCTATCTATCTATCTATCTATCTGTCTCATTCTGTTCTTATCTATCTATCTATCTATCTATCTATCTATCTATCTATCTATCTATCTATCTATCACAGTCTCTCCTTTTCTTTTCATCGCATTCTATTCTATTCTTATCTATCTATCTATCTATCTATCTATCTATCTATCTATCTATCTATCTATCTATCTATCTATCTCATTCTGTTCATATCTATTCGTGTGTGTGTATCTCTTCCTATCTATCTATCTATCTATCTATCTATCTATCTATCTATCTATCTATCTAACACTGTGTTTATCTATCTATCTATCTATCTATCTATCTATCTATCTGTTTACATATTTCTCACTGCTTTTGCGTCCATCTATATACAGGGTGCGATGGCTAAATTTCGCTATTTTATGCACGCAGGTGCTTTTTTATTTTGTTTTTGATTTTATCGACTGTTTGATTTTGGGCACCGTCTGTGAAAAAAAAAAAAAAAAAAAAAAAAAAAAAAAAAAGAACCCAATGGCGCAATTCACTCCACCAGAAATTTGGAAACGGCACGATGAACTGCTTGGCACTCGCACCGGAAGCTCCAAATACGAACATTTTAGATTATTTGGGTGCCAATCTGAGGACAGTGCAGAGAATTTGGAAAGATTTGGATAATATATCCAGTCAACCTCATGGTGCTTGGAATGATCACAAGTGATGGCGACGTTATGCCTCCATTCATCTTCCCTTCCCGACTCAACAGACTGCACCCCATTTTATTATTATTACCATCACTTTCGCTTTTGCTTCTTGGGAAGTTTGAGCGTCAGACTTCGATACATATTACGAAAATAATGTAACGATCTATATCTGTCCATAAGGAAATTGTCTAGGTTTTATATGCAGACAACTTCATGTCATTACTTATATTTTAAAAAATTCCGGCGTAGGTAATATTCGATTGGTTAATCACAGCAAATCCCACAAATCTATTGTTTTTAAAGCTTTTTGAAATTAGATTAATCTTTGACGCGCCAGTAGCTTAATATCGTCCGAATAAACACATTTATAGTATTGAAACATATTTGTTATGATGAAGTCAATTTAACATGTTTTAATATCCTTAAATAAATAATACTTAGCACTATCTATTGAGCGCTTTTTTAAATTAAATGTTAAGTACAGTCGGATCATACTCCATTTGTTCTCATTTAATCAGTATATATATATATATATATATATATATATATATATATATATATATATATATATATATCACGCTACCTTGGATACAACCTTGGTTTCAACTTGGTATCTTCTGGCTATTTCGTAGTGCCTGAAGATACCAAAAGGTTGAAATTAAGTTAGCGTGATCGGCTGTACTACTTACTTCTTTAAATTTTAAAACTCTGCATATTAAAATTTTATTTTTTTTCATTATCTTTTTACATTTATTAAGCAGCTTTTAATAGTACAACTCTGATCAATAACTTTATATATATATATATATATATATATATATATATATATATATATATATATAAAGAAAGCGAAAGAGAGAGAGAGAATGAGAGAGAGAGAGAGAGAGAGAGGGAGGCAGATTTTAAATATGACCTAGTAAATAGATGTTCACTCTTCTGTGTGTTAAATCGTCTATGTAAACGCAGTGAATATATCAGTTTTGGTTGAATTATCGCCTTGCGTTGACAAACAGGCATTACAAATAAAATGGAATGCAAACATGACAAAAAACATATATTTACAAATAAACAAATGTGTTTTTATATATATATATATATATATATATATATATATATATATATATATAAACACATTTACCTTAACAGCATTCGCCAATGATTCGGCGTCATCAGGGCTTCTTTGAGACAAAACCCAATTAAAGTTACACGGTTAAACGCTTGAATTTTACTTGTATTATTATAAGATTTTAACTAGTTTCAACTATTATTATTATGAGATTTTAACTAGTTTCAATTTAATAAATAATGACGTAGCAGTTGAAAAGTCCGACAAATTTTAAGGCCGGTAAATGTTATTATAAGGTGTGACGTCATTTGTTTCCATTTGGAAACGCTTTGAGCAGATATGAATGTACGTGAGAAATTCATGGAAGATTGAAGTTTAAAAGCAGGAAAATAGACCTTGCTAATCGAACGATCCTCCATGACTCGATCGGTTAAGGCACGTCAGGCTATATGACGGTTCCGGATAGGATACAGATTCGATTCCTGTCGGAGAACGAATATTTTCTATGAAAATTTTTCGGACATTTGGTTACTAATACTGTTTATTATAAAAACAGAGCATTTACTTAAATATTTGTATCTATAAAAAAGTATGTGTAGACATAAAAATGTCTTTTTTTTTATTTATATATATATATATATATATATATATATATATATATATATATATATATATATATATATATATATATATATTTATATATATTTAACGTTCTTTTTATAGATACAAGTATTTAAAATAAATGTTTATAAATTTTTAAATATTTTAAAATTACCGGCCTGAATTTTGAGAAATTTTCATAGAAAATATTCGTCCTTTGTCTACCGAACGCTCCTTTGTGGCCGGTCGGTAAGGCACGTCAGCGTAAATGACGGTTCCGTATAGGATGCAGGTTCGTATCCTGTCAAAGGACGAATATTTTCTATGAAAATTTCTCGGACATTCAGGCCGGTAAATGTTATTTAATACTGTTTATTATAAACAGAGCATTTACGTAAATACTTGTATCTATAAAAAAGAACGTTATATATAAAAATGTCTTTAATATATATATATATATATATATATATATATATATATATATATAAGCATATATTGTTAAATATAACAGATAATGAATGTCTATTATGTCTGACCATGAGCCGTTTTAATGTTCGTATGTGTGCTTCAATTTCGGGTGAAAA